TAACTCTAACTTAGAAGTTCAGAACCACATGCAGTTACAAAAGTTTTGAGTTTGAATGTATGATTTTGCAATACAATATTACCATATATTATTTCCTTTTGCCTCCTTTCTCCTCCTTTATCCTGGTGTGTGAATTCAGCAAGCTCCAGACATTTGTATCTGAAAGAATTATTGTTTTTAATTGGAATACATGTTCATCTCTGAGGGTCAGTGGTGCACTGATCTCGTGAGAATTTTATGTGGATGTTTGTGTATTAAAATAAAAAGATAAAACTCCCTTTTTTCCTTGCTTTTGGGATGGGGCTTTGTACATGGATAGCCAGCTCTGAAGTGAACTGTAGCAAAACATGAGCTTTGAAAGACAGTTAAACAGTTGAATGTTGAGGGTTTTAAGGAATATTATGAAACCTCTTGGAATTACAAACCTGGAGGCTTGCTGGGTGATAATCAAGAACTTGGAAAGTTCATGTGTTGAAAGTGGTGTTTTCATAGTCTGTGCAAATCCGATAATGTTCTTGTTTTAAGTGAACAGTAGTGTAATCAGTGTTTCATAATGCTCAGTGCAGAGCTTAGTAAATATTATTTAATATTTTCTTTAGAGAAATAACTGAGATACCTCCTAAGCTTCATCACATTTATTCTTATTCAGCATTTAAATTGTTGGGTGATAGTTTAGCTTTGCTGGCTTGTTAAAAAGAGAAGCCTCTAGTTCTGTGCTCCACATGTTGGTTTTGCAGTCAGTAAGTGTGCAGATAAAGTTCTTTCTGTTCCACTTAGCACCATTTGAAATGATCAGCAAGTTAAGTCTATTCAACTGCTTATCTACAGAGGGGCATGTAGGACTCCAATTAAGTTTACATGGATAAATGCAGATTTGTGTTTGCAGGCATCAAGATGACAGAAGCTTAATACTGTAAAAAGGCTAATCAACACTGAATATGTTTAGTGTCAGTAAATATTTATAGTGAAAACATTGCCTATGATTTTGTGCCTTGGCATTCCAAGTTCTGATTTTTAGTGAGTAAAAATGTGGTGTGATAGCCTCTTTATAAACCTGTTATAAAACTGTTTTGTATAAACTGCATTTTATTGTTGTCTTTGGGTTTTCTTTTGAGGACGGGTTTGGAGTTAGGCTACAGTATGTAGCGAAGTTAATGAAAAGTCTGGTGTACTTAGCAGAGTTTTTAAGGCAGAGAATGAGGAAGGGAAGGAGACAAGATAAAGACAGGCAGTATGGGGAGTAATTTCTTCTGATTATAATTTAATTTTTTTTTTAATGAGGGCTTCTTTAAACAGGGGTTGCTAATAAGCTCTGGTGAACAGTGTGATTATTCAGTGTGTTCCTGTATTCATTAGGCAATAATGACAATTTAACTGGAAAATTAATGGAACCTCAGTAAATTGTGTTTTCTATATAAAGCATATGAATACGTAGTTTTTAGAAATTTCATTAGCTCTCCATAATTTAAATGCTAGTCTGCTTTCTTTTACAAATGTATTCTGGAAAATAGTGGGTTAAAACTGAAACTCAAGAAGCTACTGATGTAATATTGTATGAAAACTACAGCCAAACAAAATGAAAAAATAGAGGTACTAAGCCAGTGATTATTATATTTTATTATATTTTGACTTAGAGGAAAGAAGAACATAACTGGAACTGCAGTTCTGCCTCAGCCTTAACGATATAAAAATATGAAGCTGAAGTGAAATTTTGTTTTCTGGAGAGAAATGAACTGATATAGTTTAGGATTTTGTTTGTTTGTTGAAAATATCATGGCTTGTCAGGCTAACAAATGTGATTTTGTTCCTGGCAGTCTACAGATCTGGTCAAGAAACAGAAAAATTCTCTGAAAACCACTGCAATATAAATACAATATACTTCAGTTTAGTGTCTAACTTTGCATGAAATAAGCACTGCCTGTTAGCCTCTGTTTGATCCTGTGAGAGCGTGAGGCTAATGTCTGGCCAGTGTTTTGGAAGCAGCAGGTAGTCAGGAGCAAGCTGCTCTAGGGGTCCATATTTCTGTAGCCTAGTAGTTACTCACACACAGATGGAGACCTTATGAACTTTGACAGAGGTCACACTAAATTGCAAATCTAAAACTTGTAGACTTCTGAAGGATTGCACTAATAATTTTTTTTTAAGCCATATGATTTGGTACATCACTAAAAGTATCAACTCGGTCTTGAGAAGCAGATCAACCATGCAGTCATTGCTCACATAATGATCATGGGGACTGATAAAGATAGCCTTTCATGATACTTTAAGGGGAAACTTGTTTATTAAACTTTTAATTCATGTATGTAAAGTGCATTTTATATTGCTTCCCAAACACCTAGGCTTCTCTGCTCTTTTGAACTTATTAAATGAATTTTGGAGCTTGAAACATTGTAGAAGCCTCATATTTTTCAGATGCACATGAGTTAGAAATAATTAAGAATACTCATGGTATTTTTTTTTTATTTTAGGTCTTTTGGGGCAGTCAGTTGAGACACCAAGCTCTGTTATCTGTCATCAGCCATCACCTCACCAGGGATCTTATAGCAGTTTAGAAAAGAAAAATGTGAGATGATCTGGTTACACATTGTAGCATGTTTAAATCCTGGATTCAAAGTTGGGCAGCATTGAAGGACTCATCCTCCTCTTGATTTTGTAATAAGTCTCTGAGATATTTCAAATTACTAGTCAGATTGGGAATTTTGTGGGGAATCTGTAGCAGACAAAGACAGACATTATTTGATTCCAAGTTATGGTCATTTAGTGTAAGATTTTTAATTTTTTTGTTCAGTGGAGATACAGTGTGACTTTCATTCAGTGTTTATGAAGTCGAGGTCTGTGAACGATTATTTAGGTCGCAGGCAGCAAGGATCTTCTTTTAATCAAATGGACAAATTTCTATCATGTCATCATTGAACTGCTTGTGTCATGTGCTATTTAATGGCTCATGAACAAGTCTTTAAAGTTGTGACTTCATGATTCAATGAGGCTGAGTCTGACTCGGTGCGTTTAAAGTGGTTTCAGTGACGGCCACACAGAGAGCTTGAAAATTCACACCAGCAGCAGACTAGTAGGGGAAGAGAGCTTTGAAAGTGTTTGAACTGGTCTGCATATGAAATAACAAGGATGTTGTTCATGCTTCTAAACTGGAAAAACACAAAAGGAAAAGGAGTGTAAAAGAATCTCCTGTAGCCTCAGCAATTTGCATGCTCTGTAATGCTAGTGTCTGTGCTTTGGTGAGATCTCAACAAGGGAAAAAATCCAAATAACCTAATTTACAGCTGAAATACCCCAGTTTGCAATTAATTCTTTTTCAATATTATTTTAAACTAGAGCTATTAGAAAAAAAACCCCTGCAAATAATTGAGTCATGTTGTCTCTGGTTGTGATCATATCATCACAATCTTAATAACTTGTGAGTAAACATATGTGAAGTACAGAATTCTGTGCTTTGCAAGGGATGTGGATGCACAGACAAACTTCTGCCATGAACTGTTTTGTGATGTGCTCTGCATTTTATACTTAATGGTGTGCAGCTAGAGCCAAAGTTAATGTGAAATGGCAAATGCAATGTGATTTGGAGTTACCTGCTCCTCTGACAATGACGAAAAAATGTGATTGCTTTGTATTGCCCAGAGGGGAGAGAATGTGCACAGCTGAGGTTGGATAACCTCTTTCCTGTAGCAGCTCCTCAGTTGTCCATACCTGGAATAAATCAACACTGCTCCCAAACTGCATGTATATTCCAGCTTTTCTTAAGAACTATTAATGTTTGAGTCAGTGTTATTGCATGTAGTCATATTAAGATGGAACTTTCTGGCTCATCAGAATTTGTTTGATCTCTTTCTAAAATTGAGAAGAGAATGGAGATAAAGATGCTGGTTTTCTGACCTGTAATCTTAAACTTTCCAGGGATCGCCTGTATGCCACTCTCAAAAGAAAGAGTCCCTTCTTTTTGAAAATTGTTTGTAGTAAAGAGAAAATATAAATGATCTAGACAGTTTTTTTCTCAAGGATTTTTTTGCACCACCTTTCCTCTCCCACCTTCTGTAAGGATTTTCTTGTATTTAATATTTCAATGAAATTACTTTTAGTGACCATCATATTCAGTGCTAAACTGCAAGTACTTCTGGCAAAGTGCAGTTTAGAATTAAGTCACTAATATAGTTACACAGAAGTTATTAAATTAAAAATAGAATCATTTAGGAGATGGAGGAGACAAGCTGAGAAGTGGAATGAGAAAGACATGAAGAAATGCAGAAAATATGAAGTTGCATAATGTTCAAAGAAATTGAAGGTTAAGGGTGTCTCTAAAACTTCTGTGATAAGTAATTTTAAAATTAAATAAATAATTTTTGTTGGCTATATGCCTAACAGAGTCACAGAGTGGTGCCAAAGGGGAACCAGGGTAGTCAATAAAAGAATTGACCAGGCAAGGTTGGATAAAAGTACATGTGGAGGAAGCAATAAATTTCTTTTTTTGTAAGTTACACAGGAGTCTCTTATGCATTACAAATTATAAAAATATTGTAAAATGATCTGCTAAGTGGTTGAAGTTTTTAGTGCATTTCATTACTGTGATTGGGGTGTAGCATGGTGCATATTTTCCATTCAGGGTTCAGTGGAATTCAGCTAATATTTACTGTCATGACTAGTTTGTTATTTCAAGGAGATAGCTCTGGTCTTGCCTACATCTTCTACAATGGAACCAAAAGTGTCTTGGTTGTGCTTCCTGTCCTTAACTAGGTGTTTGAATTAGGCTTGATGAGATGACAATTTAGATGGTTTACTTTATTAAACTGAGTATTTAAAAGGGTTTTGAAGCAGGAGTGAAACAACTGGTAAATCTGCATTGGTTATGTCAGTACTATGGTATCTAAATTGTGAACAAGTATTTATTCCAGAAACATAGGAGTTCATATTTTTAGAAGTCCTTTCCTACTGTAATTTGTGATTAATATTACCTGATTTTGTATTGATTTCTTTTTTTTTTTTGTTTTCAGGTGTGGCTCACAATATTTCTTTACTGCGAGAAGTGATCGTCCATCCATGCTTTGTTCGAGGAGACATCAGCACTAAATTCCTTCCTGAAGTCTATCCTGATGGTTTTAAAGGTTTGTTCCATTTGGAAATATTTCTTTTCTTAAGTAGTGTTATTTTGATTATTGCTCCTTTATATTTTTAGACTGACCTGCTCCCCAGTCTTTACTTTTTCTTCAAATAGATCTGTGCATACACACAATTAGAGTTGTTAAATAATGCATAAAGTTGAAATAGTTAACTTTTTTATTTTCAAGAAGGCAAAATACATACTTCTAGTGTTAAAATAGTAAATTAAATACACCCAACATCAAGAAAAAAAAACATAGGTCATATGAAATATGTAAAATAAACATCAATTCAATTCTGCTATGCTATCATGCTTCATTACACACAGGACTTCTACTATTAACTATAGCTGGATAAGTTTTCACTCAGCACTGTTGCTTCTTTTTAAGTTGGTGTATCACCTTTAGAATTGCCTTTTGACACCCTTTGTTTTCTCTGTAGCCTTCTCTGGAGGATCTGGCATTTTATTGGAGTATTTCAGTACCCTGCTCTTAATATACATTGCGCACAGTAAGGGGCATCATTTTGAAATTGTTAACTCATACACTAGGTTAACATAAACACAAATGCAATTATTTCTTTACAGCATCTCAAACTACTCAATTTCAAAAATGTTTACCAATGGTTGCTGGAAAAATATAAGAAAACCAATAGATCCTTTCACAAGGATCAGGTTTTAAAAGGTTGGCTTCTCTCTTAGCCAATCTGCTGTAGGTGCTTTCTTGACCTGTGTGGTCAGAGACTCAGTTCTTCCATACAGGTCTCTCACCTCAGCTGGCATTCACCAGGCAGAACATCTTTCTTATTAAAAAAAGAGACAGTATTTATAGTTCATCATTCATGGGTCCTTTATGAATCCTGTGGAGATTCCTTTTCCCTCATTCATCATTAATCCAATGTGGCAGAATCCTCATCTCACTTTGGAGGCAGCAGTGCCAGATTGGCAGTCACTGGACATGGCTGGCACCTTGCCAAATTCTAGTCTCATTAAGGAGCAGAACAGATTTTTCTTACCTCAGGACTCAGTGTGTGAGTGTATGGATGACTATTCTTTACACCAGAACTACTTGATATCGTGATGTAATTGACAAGTCTGTGTGTGATACAGTCCTGCATGTGGGATTGATGCATCCTGCTTGTTCCTGGCTCCTGACTGAGACCACAGGAACAGGTGTTAGCCACCTTGAGTGGCAGCGTGCTTGCCGTGCTTTGAGCTGTAAAGTTCCTTTGTTGTTTTTGCTAGGGGGTACCTAGCTAATCTTTGGGTAACTCAGCTGGCTTTGACCCAGCAGAGTTTCCAGTGTACTCTGCTCATCTGCTCTTGAAGGCTTGGTGCTGCTGTAGCTGGTCTCTCTCCCTTCCCTGACACTTGAATGCAGAACCTCATGTCTTGCCTCTCTGGTGTTTCTGGGACTATTCAGTCATTTTCCTGAGTAGATCCAGATCTCTCAACCACAATGAAACCTGAATTTTTTTACTGTTGCCGCTTTTGTTGGAGGAGTTTTTTTGTAAATTCCTGTGCTGACTTAGCTCATGAAGGAATCTGGTGAACTTCAGCAGATGTGCAAAGTGAGTGACAGACTGGGAATGAGGAGAGGGGAATGGAAGAAAAAGGCAAGGAAGCAAGATGTTAAGAGTCCCAGTGCCATATTGTGAGAAGGCTGCCTCCCCTGGCATGTAACTAGGAACAATAAAAACATAAATCAAATAGCAGTATTGTATTAACAGATTCTTAAAGATAGGCTTTTGCTCTGGAGACCAGAAGAGACAAGAACAGACACTGTGATGCTTCATAATAGAAACTAATGATTGGCACATGTGACATTCATAGACTTTTTTCCTGCTATATGAAAAGTCTTGCTCATCTCCTTCCACGTATCAAACACAAGCATATATTAGCCTTCTTAATTATAGATAAAGAAGCATATTATGGCATTGAACTTCAGTTCAAGAATAGTTACTTGTGAATAGTGATTAAAAGCTCACCAAAGAAACTGAGAGCCCTTTTAATGATGTAGTTTGCACTGGATCAAATCCTTCATTCTTAAAAAAAAATTGATTACTTGAATTTGAGGACAGTTTTTCAAGTACCCATTAAAAATATTTCTACAAGTCCAGTGACTCAAATGGGAACAGCTGAAGGCAAGCAAGGATGGTGGGAAGATGACAGGTAGAAGCTCAACAAGAGGAGCAAAGACAAAAACTAATTTATATGTAATTTCTTTAATCACTTAAACTAACTTTTTAATATAAATACCCAGGGTAAACTTTGCTAGGAGAATTTGAAAATTAAGTGGCTTCATATATCTTACTATTGTTTATAGAAAATGAATAGCTGTTAAAAAAGAGCTGTGATAGTCTGAAAAATTAGAGCAATGTATAGCCAACACAGATCTGGAAATATGTAAAAATATGTGCTGCTGTTAACAGTAGGAATCCATACCAGAAGTGTTTTAAACTTAGAAAACTTAAGAAATAGAAACATTTGAATAGAGATGTGTGTTATATTCATGCTCAAGCACAATCCATTGTGTTTCTTTTGTAACCTGCACAGTTGCCATTACAGTTGTAGTGATCTACACTGATGATAAGTACTGAATCTCAGCTGTGTTCTCTCTGGTGACTGCATGAAGTACTGGCCCATTTTATATGTGCATTTTTCTTCAAGTATAAATATTGAGTCTTAAGAGTAAGATAAGAGATTCTTTGTTTTCCAGTCTCATTTTTATGAGTTCCATTATAATCCTTTATTAGAAGACCTTTACTCTAAGTTAAGAAAAAAGTAATTATTGGATGTATCTCGGTTACTTTTCCATTAACCTATGTGATGTTTTCTTCAAATTACATGTAGAATGGGCATGTTTAGTAATTTTCATAATTAAGAGTTTAACTCTTTCTTCCCATCTTTAAGTAAACATTCACTACCAGAAGTAATTTGTTTATTGCAAGCTATTTTAAAATTCTAGCTGTGCTGAAAGTAACTTTGTGCAGAGAGTATGATTAGAGTGGGAAAGCAGTTCCTGTCATGTCTTTTTTTGTCCATGTGAGGGCTGGCTGGCTGGAATGCTGGCTGGCAGTAGGTGAGCTGGAGTGGGTTGTTGCTCTGAGCACCCATGCATATTTTGGGAGGTGTGTGGATCTCAGGGTGGGTGCAGGAACAGTGAAGAATAGGGTAGGTGGCACCTGTCTTAGAGTGGCCTCCAAGCACTTTGCTTACAGAATAAAAATGTCTACCAAGCATGCCGGAGTCAGATGCACTCTTCTTCTACAGCTTCCAAACAACCTGGGAAGCCTCTGTATTTCCTAGTCTGCCTGATGAGAAGGAAATTTACTGTGTGTTATCCCTATTTTATAGGCATAGACAGTGTATCTCTGTTTTCACAAAGATCCAAGAAGAGTCTTGGACAAAAGATAAGTTAAAGGATCTTTAGGTTAGACCCCGTTCATGGGATAGGTCATTGCAGTTCAGTCTGTTTCACAGTTTATATTTTCTTAGTTTTTTATTTAAATATTGAGATCTTATTCTTGATGTTCCTCTCTTTCTGGTTATTAAAGGATGTCTGAAATCAGTCACTCTCTTTGTGAGACACATCCTGTGCCAATGAAAGATGGGGCATTTTCCAAGAGATTGTCACAGAAGTCATCCCAAAATATATGAGAAAAAAAAAGAAAAGGAATAATTTACTTTCCCTCTTCTAGCATGTTTACCTCATCTGAATGGAGAGAAAGAGAGAAATTCATTGTATCTCTAGTACAGAAAGAACAAAGAGGAAACAATTCTGTTCTGAAATGGCACATTGGCTCCAGAGACTGTGTATGAGGTGAAGGCTTTTAGATATGTCATGTTTATCATAATTATATGGGTTGGACAAAATGATTACTCTGCTCAACACTTACTAAACCATCTCTGGAATACTGTGTCCAGTTTTAACCCCCTGATGCATGTAAGAAAGATGGCAATAAACATGAGCAAGTCTAGTGAAGAGCTACAAGGGTGGTGTTGGGGTTGGAACAGATGACCTGTAGGAAGAAGCTGGGAGAACCAGCTGGAAGCAAGAAAGCTTAGGGTGGACCTAAGGACAGCCTTCTAGGACCTTGGGGTGATTTCCCAAGCATATGAATCCAGGCTCTTCAATGAGTTGCACTGCAGGAGTGAGGGGTCATAGATTGGGGATTTTAAAGGTGTCACTGCATAAACCTCTGAGCAACCTATTCTGAATTTGATGTTGGGATTGCTTCATGGGGAGGGGACATGCTGCATAATCAAAGGGCCTTTCAAGGTCCCTTCAGCCTCAGTCATTCCATGCTTCTGAGTGAAAGTGCTTTTTAGATCAATTGGGACTGCAGATATGACTTTTAAATTTAAGTCAGGAGGCTTTTGCTATTAGTAGTGTGGGGAATGCAGCTTCCCCTGTCTGTCACTGTTAGAATATGGGAGATGCTTGCTGCTGATTCCATTAATTTTCTCTGCATTGGAATCTAATATTTATAACATTCAACTTTGTTTTCTGCCTCGGCCTACTTGGTACAGGTGCCGTCTGTAATGGTTAACTTCAAAATCCACTAGGAAAACCTTGAGATAGAACCTAGGAATGTTATAAACACTGCCTACATTGGTGTTGATCTGAATTATGCATTGCACTTTTAATCTTTCCCATTATGCTTTTACTTTTTATTCTTCCCTATCAGAAAACAGTCACTCTTCAAGTATTAAGTAACTTACTGGGGCACATAACTAGGGCTTGTTTGTTTTGTTTTGTTTTTTTCCCTGTAATTGATAGTAGGAAACACGTTTCTAGAACAAAATGCAAATGAGACTGTTATGGGAAAAATGACCTTTATGTAATTTAATTTGAAGTTGGTTATGTAAAGTAATTGCATGAACCTTTTTGACTCAGCTTGGGGGATACTGAGATAATATTGATTTAAGCAATCATAACATCAGGGAAATGAGAGAGAAATGCTTTTTTTCTTCTCTTCCTTCCGACCAGGGTTCTGCCATTTGGTAGTAATAGATGTGTGCAGTCTAGTTTTAAATAATATGAACAACACTGCTCCCACCCCTTTAATTGTGACTTAATTTTATAATAATTCTTCCTCTTTTGCATTTGCTTTATCTAATTCAGCTGATAATCAGAAATTTACCCCACGTTAAACAGAGAGGTGGGAGCTGCCAGTTCCACGTTTCATTGTGGAGGTGAAATTTCTGTGTAAGCCAGGAGTCTGCAGGGATGAGAGCAGGGAAGAGCAATGGTGTAACTTCCTGTGTCGGAAGTTGGGGGACCTTTGCTACTTACTCATTTCACTCTCTTTCAAGGAAGCACTTGGACAACTGCTCCAGAGGTAGCTTTGTTGCTCTCCAGTTTGGATGGTGAACGTGAAGGACCGTGTTATGTCTTTATTGATGGTGAATATTAACTTATTCCTCAAGACACCCCACTGAAATCCTGAGGAGTAGCTTCTGAAGGGGAATAATACTTGATGGGAAACAAAGGTATTACTATCTGGAACATTTGTGTATTTCCAAATATGGTAATGTAATTGGAAGCTTGACTTCAAAACTGTTTAGAATTTGGCTGAGCTAGCAGCAGAGCAAAAGCAGACAGTAAGGGGAATGGGACTGGAGTTCAGAGAACTAAGGCAGTATTGACAGCAGTCTGTCCTGCCTAATAAAAGTAAATTGCCATCCTTAGGAAGCAGCCTTTAATCAAACTTCTGAGGTATGCCTCCAAAGTTATGCTAAGGACATTCTGCAGTAGGCTTGTATGTTTATTGCCAGACACCAAAACCTAATTTTGCTATGTTCCTGTCAACAGTTTCTATTATCTCCCAGAAATCCTACATTGGATACTACAGTCATAACTGGTTTTCTGCTTGCCACGCGTGTGACACAACTGCTGTCAATAGTGACAAAGGAATAAATATATTTTTTATGTTGGCAGTAATGAAGTGAGTGTGACTCTTGATCACTTGTTAACCTGTTTCAACTTACTGACCTTTGTTTGCTGTTTGGAGTTTGATTTTTACCGAAGATACAGGAAGAAAATAGTTTTTGTGGCACAGCAAGCTCAAAAGCAGATACTTCATCTAAGACAGAGGTCATGCAATAAAACCTTTGAAATGGGATCTTTTTAGTTTTGCCTTGTTCCTTTATTTAAGTTGGTTTTAACAGTATGTGTTGGAGCAGGTAGAGATGTGCAGTTTTGGTCACACGGTCTAGTCATGAGTGTTGGACAGGGGGACTGAAAGTCAAAGGCTTTAGGGCAGATTCCTGATGTGCCTTTAGCTGGGGCATGTAAACAAATAATGAGTTTTAGATTCAGTGTTTTGAAAAAATGATCTTAGAGTTTCTTCACTGTATGTAAGCAATGGGAAAATTGGCACATTTCAGATCCAGATAATCGATGTTATTGCATTGTATAATTACATAAGGCTTAAATTTATACACATATATGTGTATGTGTATGTACAAATAGTACAAAAGTTCAGTGCTTTTTGAATTTTGCCTTGCAATCAGTTTTCCTAGTAACTGGCAAAGGAAAGATCAAGTTTGTTTCTGAAGCCAGGTTCTAAACCTTTCAGCATTTGGATTTCTGCATGTGTTTGTTGAAGTGAAAACAGTTTCCATTTCAAGGCAGATAAAAAAATAAACACTGAGCAAAAGAACTTGCAGTAATATTCAGCCAGAATATTCTAATGGGGACTAAATTAAAAAGAGATTGATGCAAATTTTCTGAGTTTTGTTATTTTTAAATTTACATTTTTTGGCCTGTGACAACTTCTTTGTACTGTTAGCTGGACTTTATTGAATGTATTCCCATCACTGTGGCATGATTGCATTTCTGAGGTGGACTCTAGCCTCTTTACCTAACCCTGTTTAATATGCCCAGTGGAACGATGGGTTCTGTGCAGAAGACACCCTGTTTTGAAATTGTGGCTTTGTTGCTGTAGAGTCTGCTCCAGTCCTTTACAGCAGTCTCCATTCTGGATTTTCTTCAGTTTCTCATTAGTCTTATTTTATTCTGCTGATAGAAATTGTCACTGGCTAGTAACCAGTACTGGGGAATGAGAATTTACATTACATAACATGGAGGCCATGGGAGGGTGGAGGTATAGAAAGGATCCGTGTAACTCTTTGTCTGCTGCAGTACTGGAAGCAGATGTGTCTCCCTGGGCAGAGTTCCTCTGGGAGATAGAGCCTTCTGAAGCTCTTCCCCCATCCTTTCATGTGAAATCTGTGCTTTTTCTGGATGATGGCATTTGCTGTGATATGTACACTATGATAATGCACTTTTTGAGTGCATTAAGCACTCAAAAGTGAGAAAGCACTTTTTGAGAGTTGTGTTGTAACTGAGTTCAGCAAAGTCTTTCAGTGCTCAACCTTTAACTTTATTTTGCAATCCTCTTTTTCCTTGTGAAATACTCTTGCTTTCACTTGTGCAAAATCTTTCTCATGGATAAAGTTGGCCTCTTTTCTTCATGACAATTCAGCTTTGCAGCTCTTACCCTGTTTTAAATCAATTTTAACTTCCTGCCTTCTAGACAAAGTACTTTGTCTTTTTGTTCTCTCTCACAGACTTGTAGGGTGGATTGGGTTTCAAGGGACCTTAAAAATCACCTGATTCCAACTCCCTGCCATGGGCAGGACACCTTCCACTAAACCAGATTGCTTAGTGCTCCAGCCATCTTGGCCATAGGACTTCCAGGGATGGGGCATTCATGCCTGGACAACCTGTTCCAGTGCTTCACCACCCTTGCAGTAAAGGATTTCTTCCTAGACTAATCTAAACTCTTTCAGTTTATTTCCCCTTGTCCTTTAACTACGTGCTCTTGTAAATATTCTCTCTCCATCTTTCTGGCAGGCACCTTTCAGGTACTGGAAGCTGCAGTTAGGTCACCCTGAAGCTTTCCCTTTTCCAGGCTGAACAGTCCCAGTTCTCTTAGCCATTCCTCATAGGAGAGGTGCTCCATTTCTCTACTCATCTTGGTGGCCCTGCTCTGGAATCTTGCATTATTCTTGGCCACCTATTTGCCATCTTTTCATAGCAAATCTGTGTTGTGTGATTTCTGACCTAAAGGTGGGGAGGGCAGAGTTCTGTTACTGTGCTCTTTTTAGCCTCTGGAATGGACAATTGAATCTCTATTTAACCATCACTTTCTGGAACATTACCAGAGTGGAAGAAAACCTGCTTCCTGTCACACTGGTTGTATCTTTTTAGCAAATATTTGTTAGGTTGCCTGCCTTCAGATTATAGCCTGCTTTGAGCCACTTTCTGCTTCTAAAGTGTCAAACATCACTTTTGACTCCATTAGTTGTGAACTAATGATTACACAAATAACACTAAATGACCCAGGGCTGAGGAGTAGCCTTATCCCCATTTATTTTTTGGGTTTATACTGTTTTGCTGTCCCTTTTGTTTGAAAGATCTGTAGCCTTTGCCTCAGATAAAGTACTGAGAGTGTTCTATATTTTGAGTAAGTTCTAATGTACAGATGGATTCCTTACCAGCATGAGGCACAATATGTCAACCAGTGACATTTCAGTAACGAAAACAAGATGCTGCAGCATCATTCAGTTTCTTTTCTTTCAGTTGTCAAATTGTTTTTAACAGAGATACCAGTGTTAGCAGTTGGGCTGATTTGTATGAAAACATGCAATTTAAACTCTGAAACTCAGAGCGTCTGCTATGCTGTGCCTCATCCTAATTTAGAGGGAAAAAAATGTAGCTTTCATGTGTGAGGACTGAGCAGTGTCTTTACTGGTAGTTGTTACTTTTTGCGTCTGTGTTGGTCTGTGGTATCTAATTTTTTTTTTAAACTTCTTTCTGAAAACTAGGACACAAGTTGACAGATCTTGAGAGAAGACAACTACTGGCAACAGCAGCATCTTTGTTTGTGGCTGAACAACTGAGATCACAGCGATTTTTAGGGACTCCAAGGTAAGTTCATTTCTGAGAACTCAGATGTGCTGATGCGTTTCATTAATGGCATCTTCTCATGCACAAGAATAGCTGGTGAGAAACTGCGTGGTTTCTTAATATGGTCTGTTTTTTCTAAATTCAAATGAGCTGTGGCTTACATTTCCCTACTCGCACAAGTCATACATGATTATTTTTATTCTAAGTATTAGCAAACTAATAGGCACAAAAATGTGTTACAAGCCAGTACATTAATTAATGCACATCAGGAGTTTCATTAATGCAAAATGTTGCTGCATTAGTAACTAACCACAAATTGAGCATCACAAATTTCCCATGTGCCCATTTGAAGCAATCTAAGCACTTTGGCATAATATGAATATTCAGCTACAGGGCTTTAAAATATTGTAGATTTGTGAGTAATTTGCTACCTTGATGAAGAACCTTAATAGTTTAGAGTCTTAATTCTGAAAACACTTTCAGACTGTAAAGGTGGAAGGTAATTGATGGAAGAGTCAACACCTTGCTTTAAGTATGGGTTTTTGGTGCTTTTATTTCCCCACTCCTCCATTTTTTTGAATTGTAGCTGCCAGTAACCTAGGCAGTACTGTTAATTGTTCAGCTATTGCAGTACCCATGCCAAAATGCTAATTCACTTCTTTGGCTTTTTTGAACAGTATGCTTTTTTCCTCTAGGATGTCTAGCTTTCCTTGTCTTCTGGCCCATCCCTGTCAGTGCCTTGAGACTTTCTGTTAAAATTAACTGAATTTGTGAAGCTTGTTTGTGTGGTTGGTGTTAGCAATGATTGTACACAGGGTATACTGACTTCAGCCTAACTCTCCTTGCCTCATGTTTTGTAATGTAGTTGCATGTAGGTTTGTATGTGAGGGAAGTCATAGTGCAGGGTAGACATTATTCACATTCCATGCCAGTGGTTTGACAGTGTATTCTATTACTGATTTTTCAGTGGTCAGGAATAAATCAAATGTGGTTTCAAGAAGTCTTTATTTTTATTTGTACCCACAAAGATAATTAGTACCATATGGTATTAAAGAAAAAGAAAGAGACACTTAGGGCAAGCATAACAGCTTTGTAATGTATAGCATATGCAGGCTGGGTCATTGCTTGCCTTATGCATCTATAGGGGAAAGTAAAGCACCTTTTTATTTCCTTCCACAAGTTATATCCTCCATAGTGAATGGCATAAGGAGAAGAACAGACACTCAAAGGCCACTCTCACCTAAAAAAAAGATGAGTCGGGGAAAATGAGGAGGGGCCTTGATTCTAGTTTTTTACTGGCCAGCATAGGAAGTTAAGTAGTCTGGTACTGCTACAGAGAAGTGATGGATTACTTTGTACTTAGAATAAGGATAGGAATTGTTAATTTAAGCAGTGATGATCAAACTGCTATTGCAGTCTCTGCCTTGATTTGTGATTTCTTTTTTCTTCCCTGTAAAATGCTCTAACTAGCTAAAAAGAAAAGAAAGGAATCCAATTTTTGAACAATCTTTTAATGTTTTGTTTCTTTTGCAAGTACTGTTTTTAGTACCAGGTGTCTGTGTATCCTAATAGAAAAGACACATAAGACTATTTTAACTGAGATAACAGAGATATAGATGAAGTATGGCAATGAGCAATCAGACATGGTCATCCATCTCTTTCTCTGCTGTGTTAGGGAAACAAATGCACTGCAGCTTTGAAAAAAAAGTTTTGTCATTTTTGGAGTGCTAGCTAAACTCAGTTACAGGTATCCTTCCACCATGGGAATCTGGTCACATGAAAAAAACACACATCTGTAAAACTAGATTAAGGTAAGATTTTTCAGATTTTAAATGGTGAAGCTAAGAAACCTTTTCAGTACAGAAGAATCATTTTCTCTTGCCATGATGGCATGTACTTACAAGTCCTTCAGAAGTCAAGCCTTAGAATTTTCTCCAAGTGATGGCTGAGTGTGGTTCTTATTGAATGTGTCATGGTTTCAATACATACATACTGTTAGATCTACTTGCTTTAATGATAGCAAAGCTGCCTGTTTGAGGCCAAGTAAGGATGAGCTAATGCAAAAATGCTTACTGGTGAGTAACTTCTGAAGAAACCAAACCTGATAATGATATCCTTTCCCCAGAATCACACAGCTTGTTCTAAGGAAAAAGGAAAGAAGCAAAGGCAGAATGAGGTCAGAGAATTGTGCAGTGTCTTGGACAGTGTTCTCCATTCCTTAGAGCAGTTAGTGGACTCCCTCTAGAGGGAACTGAGCACTGGGGAGCATATGAGTTACTATAGTCCCATCAAGGATTCTTCACCACATCCTTAACTTAACCAAACTGCATCTCACTTATTTTTGAAGGTGCTCCTTATCATGGGTATTTTTTAATGAGCAGGGTTGTGGCCAGAGAAAAAGCACATCTTCATAAGACTGCACTCTATTTGAAAAATACTAGTAAACAAAGTTCAGAGTAGGAACCTGTGCTACAACAAATCCACAAGGCCAGTTGTGATCTTGGGTGCAATGTTCACTATGGTAGAATTGGGCATTTGGAGTCTGTGTGAGTTTTAGATCTGTGTTGAAGGATGTGAGCAGACTAGACAGACTGCATGCTCCAAAGCTGATCCTTAACGTTCTCCTAATGCTTTGGATAAGTACATTGATACACTGATCATCACCTACAGAATTTCAGCTATCTGGCACTGTTTATGTTGACAGCATTTTTTTTCATCTGCACTGAAAACAACTGAGCAAGTCTTGTGCAAAAAACTACTGAAGAGTAGTATTTTGAAATCATACATTATTTCTTTTAAACTTGTCACAGCTGTCAAACAGACAGTTTTCTGCTAAACTTGAGTTATATGCTTATCTTTGCTTTTAATTTGTTTTCTTTTCCCTTTTGGGAGCCATATTTATAATATCCATTCTTTTCACAACTGCAGGGGTATTTTATGTTCCCTTTTTCCCCTGTGATTTATTCAGCCCATGATCAGGATTGTTATTCTGGTCAGATAGACAGCAAGTACCATGCTTGGAGCTCTTCACAGAAGCTGCAGCTTTCACTGTCAGGGTTACCAGGACTGTAATCAGATGAAGTGCAGCTGAGCCAGATTAAGGAATCTTGTTGCAGGCTGCTCCTCCTTTTCTCTCTGTCTTTTCTTCTCCTCCCCAGGTATGCAGGTGTGATTTTGTGTGTAATTGCATTCCAATCTGGTTCTGCAAAAATAACCTATGTTAGCATAGAAACTATTTAATAATAGTTTACTTCAGATCATTCTGTCAGAAGCAGGTTACTTCTGACAAAGGAAATTATTCTGGAAGAGCTACAAGAGTGGGAATGTGTAGCAAGGAGGAAGATGTGAGCTCATAAAAGAGAGTCAGAGGTGGGCCTTAGCTCTTTACCACAGGTCAGACTAGTAGCAGCTTCATGAGGAGGATTTCTCTATAACTGCTGGTATTTTCTCACGTGACTGGAAAATATGTATTTTGCAGTCCCCTGAGTGACTGAATAATCAGCTGTAAGGTTCTTGCTGAAGCATATTCTGATAACCAGCCAGCTTTGGCACCCAACTTCCTTCACCTAGTTTCAGCCAACCTGACCTGTGTAGTGGCAGTCTTCATTGCAGTAGGTTGGCTGCTGTTGAGGTTAGTGCAGGTCACAAGCCCATGGCTGGTTTGCCTTTCCTGTGCCCAAATAAATGGTGTTATGGTTTGGGTGGAGCAGACACAGGTGAGTTTCCACTATCTGTACTGTTATATAGTGCCCCAGGCCTCAGCAACAGCTCCTAGAACTAACTTGCCATGCTTTAACTAGAACAGCTCTTGGAGATCCATACAAGCTCAGAGTTAAAGGAATATAAGCATTTACTTTTGTGATGCAATCAAGTATTTAGAGCATTTTCTGTGTGTGCTTTTTTTTTTTTTTTTAGTTTTAACTATTTTTTATTTTTGTATTTAATTTTTCCCATTTTCATGGGAAAAATTTGATGTGGGACGGTTTGGTTTTTTAGGATTCTTCTTGGTTGGGGTGTTTTTTGAAAGATGATTTGCTAATGAAAGTGTTTGGTATTTTGTGAACCACATACTAATGTGAATATTTCACTGTGATATCCAGATAATAGGGGCACATATTTCCTACAGGAAAGAGCCATGGATGATTAATGATTGTTTCATTGTTCAGCTTTTGGTTATTTTACCTAGGACTTTTCCTACTTACTCCATAGTCCACTTTATTGTGAAACTGGTGCCACCCACAGCTGCTGAACAGATTTACAGCATCTAGTAAAACCCCAAGGTCTTCTAGACAGAACTTGATCTTGTTTCAAGTGGAAACATATTTTGGCTGAAGTGAATCCAGCTTATTTTATGTCTGTTTGATGTAGTTTGCCTTTGAGACCAAAAATGATGTTGTACAGTTGAATCTTCACATTTTGGCTTCAGACTTGTTTTCATTAGTGGGTTGGGAGGGGAATAGGAGAGTGTCTCTCCAGGTGTGGCTACATCATGCTATCTCATGGGTCTACTAATGTGATGTTTATACTTCTAAACCCAATTGCCTGCAGCACTTCCTATGTGTTGCTTGTGTTGGCTGCTAAGTGTATTTTCCTAATTTTTCTATGGGTTTTACCCTTTCATCATTTATGACTTGGAAAAAAACCAGTGAGGCTGCATGCCCATATTACCTGATGCTGCACACAAAGAGATGGTAACACATTGGAAAATGTTCTAAATTGCTAGCAAGGGAAAAAAAACACTAAAGATTTTTCTTGCTTGTGTGTTTAATTTAGAAGACTGGATTGGGATTCTTAAACTGTTCTTGTGGGACCTTAGAGAAGTCAGTTGAATTTGGAGTTTATAAAAAGACAAAATGGCCTTAATACTTTGCTGCCCTATTGAGGTTTTGTAAATATCTGTTTATCAACATGTATGAAGTATTTTGAGACCTAAAATGGATTATGCTTTCTAAGCATAAAATAATATTTTCCCGGGAAGGAAAGCGTATAGTGAAAAGTTAAAAAACAAACAAGCTTCTGTC